GCAATGTCTCGTTGATTATGCCACGTAGGAAGGGTACGTTCGCCATGTCAGATTCGTCCATCAGACGGTCGTGGCCGACTTTTTGGTCAATTTCGAGCTGGGCTTTCTGTAAAACTTCTGGATTGTTCAGCATGAGAGACAGGGCCCATTCCATCGTGTTCATGGAAGTTTCCGTGCCTGCAGCCAACAAAACCTGCCCCATGGAACATGAGTTTAATTAAACTTAATTAACATTAAAACAAGCTAAGAGAAGTGATTACCAGCATTAAGGCTCTGATGGTTTCGTCATTATACTGATCTGGGTCGGATTCTTGTAGCTCTAGCAGTACTTCAATCAACGTCTTCTTCCTTCCATCGCGAAATGAATTGTCGGGCTCTGTTTCAATTGCTCTGTTCTTGTGTTGGTTGATCAAATTCTGCATGAAAGCGTCTCTTTTTTGGTGGCATTCCATTATCTCTTTCTCCGCCGCCCACCCAAGTCCCAACCACGACATCAGCGGGATAAAATCTCCCATATTTGTCTTGCCACCTAACTGCGTTGACTTGCTCTGTAGCTCACGAAATCTGTGTGCCTCGTCAGCATCCTCCACGTCCTCACCGTAAAACCGCTTTCCCACGATCATTCTCAGCATGACGTTAAAAGTCAGATCGAAAAAGGCATTATTCATGTCCTGCACTTGGTTTTCACCCTTCGCCAGTCTTCCAATCAAGGATTTGACCTCGTCCAAACGGACGGCTGCGAGCATCTGAAGGCGATGAGTTGACAAAATTTCAACGGTGGAGATTCGGCGGAGGTTGCGCCAGTGGTCTCCATAAGACGACCATACGAGGTTCCTGTTGTTGTATCCGAACCATTTGGATATGAGGAGACGAGGGCGGTCGGCAAACACGACGTCGTTCTTGCTCAGACATTCTTCCGCCGCGGAAGGAGACGAGACCACTAGAACCCCCCGGGATCCAAACCTGAGAAACACAACTGGTCCGTACCGGTTGGAGATCTCCGCTAACGTCCGGTACATGGGCTTCTTCAAGAGGTGGAGATGGCCGATGATTGGAAGCGAGAGGAAAGGGGTCGGCGGGAGGTTTCTAATCCTGTGAAGAAATTGCTCTGTTAACACATACAACACGAAGAACAGTGGAATGTATACGATTATTGCTCCCATGGCTTCACTGCTACCACTGACCCTTCGCCCACACACTGCACCGTTTCAATCTCTGATTGTTACATAAATAATCGAGTGGACAGATTATTTGGGCACGTTCGTTCATTAATTAAGGAAAATATGTTTTATAATCCCAAATTGAAGAAAGTATGTTTTATAATCCGAGATGTTTTTCAAAAGTACTTAATACAGTCTAATATCTACTAGTAAAATAGCGGATTAGAACAGAAAGGTAGTTGTTGGTTTGTCCACTTTGAGCATAAGCTCTCATGGGTTTACTTTCAGCTTCCTCAAAAGACCTTATATCAATAGAGAGGATATTCTTTGATTATATACCGGACACTTTCATCCAACACCTCCCCTTAATCGAGGCTCAACTTCTTTGGAGTCTTCTTCGGTCAATTTTTTACTATGCCTTCAAGGCTCACAATACTTTGTTCGTCATTTGAGGATTTGTCAATCTATTGACATGATTAAAGTTTAGGGCATGACTCTAATACCATGTTAGATGAACATGACTCTCCACAATGGTATGATAATGTCCACTTTAAGCATAAGTGATCGTGACTTTGCTTTGGGCTTCCCTAAAAGGTCTTATACCAATGGAAAGTGTATTATTTGATTATAAACCCATGACCATTCCCTAAATTAACCGATGTGGGACACTTTCATTCAACAGTTGGTTCGTGTTGCGTTATTTATTTGAAGCGGTGTGGTGTGTTGTTGTTTCGGTGCTCTTGAGACAACTTGTAAAAAATTTTGGTTGTATATTGATTCAAATTCACATGGTGTAAGGAGTGGGGTGCCGAAACAGCCAATGGAAAGAGAAAAAGAACAACTTAGTTGTTTTTTGCAGAGAAAACGGACACGGTTTCTAACCATCTAATGTGATAAGATCTTAAATGAGGAAATAAATAATACTGGGGCGGTGGAAGGTATGGTCGGGGAAGGGGACAGCGTGTTGTCGGGAAGCGACGGAGACGGCGGGATCTAGTCTCAATTTTGTCATTTTCCGACCAAGCGGAGCAGAGCATCAACCGAACTAAGATGCTTCAGCTTTCGAGGTCAATGCTCTTTAAATATCTCATAAAATAATATTAACAAATAACTTATCAGTAATATTCATATTCAATTTTGGACTGCCACATCTCACTTATTGGCCTCATTTTTTCTTTCAACACTATTGTCGTAATTATCGTAAATTTAGGTCGTTTGGATAAGTTTTAATAAGCTTGCTTAGCTATGTTTAATCAAGGCCCATCAGAATTCATACTTCATATTATGAATTGTTAAGCTTAGTCAACCAATCATCTGCAGGTTCAATGGACGATTTAGCTATAGGCGGATCAGTTTTTGTTTGACCAAATTTGTCATTTGGAAAAGTGTTTATAATCGTCCAGTGGCATCAGAGCCATATACAGACAATGTGTGAATGAGGACATTGGGCTCCAAATAGTGGATTGTGAGATCTCGTCTCGATTAATGAGAATAACAAAGCATGTTTTTTTTTGTTTGTAAAGGTGTAGAAACTCCACCCTCGTCGTAACAAGTTTAGTTTTGTCGACAATAATTCACTGCTCGCAAGTTCGTTTCAATTCTTGTATGGATTTGCTAATGGAGGGGAAGAGCTTTGGGCAATGTGAGTCCAATGCCATGGCTCATATCAATACTCTGCCCACTGCCTCCCTCTCAAAGATCCTACCGCCAACCCTTCGCCGGGACACACCCTCCCCTCGGCTCCAAAGGGCATCCAGTTGAACGTCACTGGATTAATCAGTGATTCTAGCTTTGTAGTATTATATGTAAATTAAACAGAATAATCCAGCTTTTAAAGGGAATAATAATAAATGGAAAATTATGTGATCCAGGTCATCGCAGTGGGCCAATGGGCAATTGAGATGATGCCAATGTGGAGGGCATGATGATCTCTCGGGCCGCTCGCCGCCATCTCTTCATGGGCCCTGCCCACTCAGCACCCACCTGGTCCCATGACGACGCCACGTGCCAATTGCAAAAGGGATTTTAGTTCGCTATGAACAGATCAGAAATCCACTTTTTTGTCTCCTACTTAATTTCTTTATAAAGAAAACATATCATCTAAATTGAACATGTCTATTTAATTTTTGTTTTTATAACTTTTTTTTTAATCATTACCCATGCAATTGATTTTCGATCTGTGTTGTAACATCCCAAGCCCCTCCAGACCCCGTAGGAGATTATAACGGGTGTGAAAACTTTTTCTATTAGATGCATTCTACATTTTGAGGGAAAACGTAAAAAGAAAAGTTCAAAGAAACAATATTTTGTGCGGTGTGTTTGGACGTTTATAAATGGTATCAAAGTCTGACAATACATGGTGTGTCAGAAGCTTAAGAGGAAAAATCTAAATATGAAAGTCTTATAATAATCTATTTAAGTCATCTAAAAACAAGAGAAAATGAACAGATCAAGAACCATCTCATCATATTCTGGTACATCTGCAGAGGAACAGTTTTAGCATGGAATTAAGCGTTGTTCTCATTATGGCTATCCACAAGTTGAGGCAAGAACACACGTCCAGGTTCTAATTTTGTTTTTCTCAAATTTAATGATATGGTACTTTCAAAGAAATAAATAACAACAATTATGACAACAATCATATATTATGAACTTGAATTATCATCTATTATTTTGCGGGTTATGCATATTATAAGTTTTTTTGAAGATATTTTATTTTATGGAAGAATAATTCTAGATGTCGACTTATTGGGTGGTTATTAATTAAATAATAATCACTTTAATGGGTTCATGTGAAGCGGCAACAGTTGCAATGATCATCGCAATAAGCTACACATGAAATCCACTTTCGGCGGTGAGAAATGAGATCGTGAAGCGTACCTCTATTTACTGTTGATCACGACGACAGAATATTCAGCATTAAATTCCCGGCAGCGAATATCAGTTTCGGGATCTAAGAAAACAGTTTAGGTAACGTGTAAAGCAACAAGCGTACTTGGATATATTATCTGTTCAATCTGGAGATAAATTTGGAGACTATTTTGATTTCGGTTTGTTATGGACGATTCAATTTAGGGCATTCTGAAGTCGATTTGTCGGAGATCACGACGCTCTGCCAGGCGGAAAATGTGGATGAAATCCTCGTTGAGGAAATCAAAGTGCTTGCTCGTAAGGTGAGTGCTGCCGCTTTTGATTGATTGATATATTGTTGTACCGATTCTGCTGCTATTTGGTTCTCTGCCGCTTAATTTTACAGTTCGAATGATAAATTTTGCAGTAATTGCTCCAGCGGCACTGCGGCAGTGCATTTCCTCTGAAGCGCGGCGGACATTTCTCGCGTATGTAACCCTAATCTTCAACTTAATCCTCAGTTTCCGTTTTCAGCGTTTCAAAATTTCAATCGGTGAAAGATTGGGAGACGAACGGCGTGGTTCTGTGATTCAACAGGTTTACTCTTCCCTGCTTCCTCCGGAAAGCTCCGAACATTTAAGAGCGACGCTTCTCTCCGAACGAACGCCGACTGGTTCTGCCTTGAATATTTGGTCGAAAATCGTGTTATCGGGTACGTGAAATCATTTCGTTATCCATAATGGCTGGCTTCTGTTAATTTGATTCTTTCGTCCTTCCCTTAGATCGGGTCACTCGCGACGTGAGGATGGCACCGCCAGCGTCGTCTTCTTTCAATCTTCTTCCCGAAGAAAATACACAATCACTGAAAATTTCATCCACATTTTCCCATGGAGAGACCGATCCCTAGAAACATCCTCGATTGTTCCCGACGGTGAAAACCGCAGTTCAGGAATCCGGCGAACCATCTGCGTTGCCGGGTAAAAATGGATTACAACTTTATCTTATTAAAATTCAACCCAAAATAGAACAAATTCGAGCGATTCTTGGGCACACTTGAGTGAGCCAGAGATTTGCCTGTTGTCTCGTTAGGCTAAAGATTTGGGGAAGCAAAGCAAGGTGTGGTGGCCGGTGGGGACATGGAAACCCCCAAAAGCCGCACCCTTTTAGCTTTGTAGTAACATGAGTGATTACTGAAAGAGGGTATTGGTGGGTGTCCCATTCATATCTGACTTCCTCCTCCTCATAAAACGCGTTGAATTTTGAATCCCCCAAAGTACGTTAAAATTTCATTAAATATGGACTCACTTTCTTTAAAGTTTATATGCTGTTTCTGGTCTGCATGGTCAAGATTGCTCTCATCTTCTTCACCACTTTTTACTTTTTTTTTTTTTTTTGCATTTTGTTATAACAACAACCCTTAATTGCCCTGATTCGACATTGGGTGTTCTAACCTTTTTAATTCAAATTTGGGTGCTTTGTAATTCATTAATTAACTAATTAGGTAATTAGAAGTATTTCAATTTGAGAAATTGGGGAATTAATTAAGATTTTTGGGGTACGCACATTGGGTAGAGGCGGGGGCGGGAGAATTGTTCCGAAAAGAACAAAACGGCGGCGTATGAGCTTAAAACCCGGGAAGAACGAAAATGGGGAAAGTCTGAAAATTTTAAAAATAGAGCCATAAAATCTGAAGTGAAAGGTTGGTCGGAATGGAAGAGCGCGCGACCTTAATGTTTCTGCGGATTCACTTAATTTGGTTTTCATGTTTTGAAAACCAAAACTGGCGCTTCTCATTTTCCCCAAAATCTATTACCAATTTCTTTCTTAGTGTACATATTCTACCCGCGCCACCGCCAATTCCTCACCTAAACCAACACCCAACATACCCACTTCTCCTTCTCACTTTGTCTTTTCCAGCCCCCCTTTTCAGATCCCAGGTCGACTCTTAACTATGGCGGATAAGGAGAATATATTTCGACTCACTCGGGGTTCTAAGAAGAGGTCCGCCGAGGCTGCTACCCCCCACGATCGCTCTGCCAACAAGAGGAGAGTCGTTCTCGGAGAGCTTCCTATTTTACAGAATGCTACTTCTTCTTCCGTCGATCGGACTTCCAGGTCCAGACCCAGCAGGCAGAGACGGAGACTCAAATCGAGGGATACAGCGGAGACAAGTGCGGCCGCTCAAATTAATACGCTTCCGGATGCTGATGTCAAGCTATCGGATGAGGGCAATTCCGAAGACCCGCAAATGTGCACGCTTTTCGCCTCTGATATTTACGAGTACCTTCGCGCCATGGAGGTTCGAGTTTTTCTCCACCCCCCCACCCATAATTAATACTCCACTTTGATTAATGGGATTTGTACAACTTTTTTCTATTTAATCCTTGATTACTGGCTTTGCTATTGATTCGTATATTCACGGTCCTCCAGTTTAATCGCTCCTACATTAAAATTAGACTTTCTCATGAGGATTTGTCTAGGAATGGAATATATTGCTCCAATTTTCACATACCCTTTAGCTCTGATGCAAGAAGATTAGTTGCCGACTTTGTGTGGGTGTCGGGGGAGGGCATCCATTTCGTTTTTGGTCGATTTATGATATATCATCCTGTCTTCAAATCTTAGTTTTAATCTGATTTGTTGTATTTCAATGGTATCACAATAGTGTCCTGACATCTTAGATTAATACGGAAGTGTGTGTGTGCTGGGGGTTTCTAATTTCCTGGATCTCTGCCTATGCTGATTCTTATTTGAACATTCAGACTGATCCACGAAGAAGACCTTTACCAGATTACATCGGGAGGGTACAAAAGGATATAAGTGCCAATATGAGGGGGATTCTGGTGGATTGGTTGGTTGAAGTTGCAAAAGAATACAAGCTTGTTTCAGACACTCTTTACCTCTCTATTTCATATGTTGACAGATACTTATCTCTAAACGCAATCAGCAGGCAAAAACTTCAATTGCTGGGGGTTTCTGCCATGCTCATTGCCTCGTAAGCCTGCTGATAACCCCCACTGATCTTTTGCCCTCTGGCTCATTCTTGGTTCACATAAAATCCCCCAATTAACTCAACTCTGTTTCTTTTCGTATGTTTGTGTGTACTTAGAAAGTATGAAGAAATCAGTCCTCCGCATGTTGAAGAATTTGTTTATATAACAGACAATACCTACAAGAGAGAAGAGGTAATTTGCTACTCATCTATTGTTTAATTTTCTGGAAGGTTTCATCATAATCAAAAGTGGTTGAATCATAGCATTCTGTATTTATTTTGATTCTGAAGGTGGTTGAGATGGAGGCAGATATATTGAAATCACTGGAATTTGAACTTGGGAGTCCCACAATAAAGACATTTTTAAGGCAAGTGCAGTTGTCTGTCTACCTTTTACTGCTAGTAATTATGCAAAATGTGCAGAAGCTGCATGGTTTGGTAACTTACGCAACATTATTCTGATGTGCAGGAGATTCACAATGATTGCTCAAGAGACTTACGAAGTAGCTTCCTAATCCTCTGTTAATTGTAAGGATGCCTAACATGAATTTCAGTTACTTATTTCTTATTGGTTTTTGCAGTTTAATACTTTGCAATTTGAATTCTTGGGCTACTATCTTGCTGAGTTAAGTCTACTAGACTACAACTGTGTCAAATTCTTACCGTCTCTCATTGCTGCATCTGTTATATTTCTAGCACGATTTATGATCCAACCAAAGAAGCATCCTTGGGTAAGATTTCTAAAACATTGGATTATGCATCATCTTGTTTTTGGTAGGGATTGGGCATGTGTAACATATTTTATGTCATGTAGACCTCCAGGTTGGAGCATTTTACTGGATACAAGCCAGCTGATATGAAAGATTGCGTTCTACTTGTACATGATTTATACCTTAGTAGAAGAGGAGGCGCTTTGGCAGCTATAAGGGAGAAATACAAACAACATAAGGTATTTTCATGGTTAAATGCCCACTTTTATGCTGGATAGAAAGGTTCCTATTATATGATGAATTTAGAAACCTTTAGCTTCTGTGAATTCTTGGAATTAAGCACTGCCGTTAATTTTTATTTCATATATTCCTGTCTTATTGCAGTACAAATTTGTGTCTATCATGCCTTCACCTCCAGAGATTCCTATTCCATATTTTGAAGATGTTAGAATATGACTGTACAAGATGACAATAGTAGTTAGGAGCTTAGTCTATGGGAGCGAATAGAAATTTATATTAGATAGGAATCTGAATTCCAGAGGCATGGTTCAGTTTCAATCTGTACAAGCTCTATAGGGCATTAGTTGAGAGTCGAGTGTCTACTCGGAATGGAACACATTTTTGTGCATTGGAAGGCAAGCCAAAGCATGAAGCCAAAGCTTGCATTTTTCCCACAACATTACTGCATTTTTTTCTTCCCTTGTAAAGATTTCTTTTGAAAAAAACAGATAACCCAACGTTATTAGATTTTAGGGTGTGTTTAGTACTGTACAAAATTCAGCAAATGCACATCATGCATTGGGCCGGAAGCCCATTTGAAGCATAGAGTTTCTGAAATTTTCTTTTTCGAAGTTCGAGTTGGCAATGTACATAAACCACATGTCTAATAATTGCAAGAACTAAAAAGGGTGCCTTGAAAAGCATCAAATGTAGCACATTGTCGTGCATGCATTGTTAAAAGTTTTCTGAAGGGGCAAATGGTCTCTAACTTCGACAAGGATTGCTCGAAGAGGGAAAAGGCAGAAGCGAGAGAAGAGAAGAGCCAGGATGGATATGCTGCTACGAATGCTTTATTTACGTAGAGGCTTAAAATGAAAATGACCCTCTGCTTCAGAGGTTGAAGGGACTGAAAGCTAGAAAGAAAAGCAGCACGATGGTAGAAAGAATATTAAAAAGGCTTCTGCTGAAAAGGAAAAGTGGCCTCGTCTCGTCTGCTGTGTTGCTGGTCTTGCAGGTTGTCTACTCGATTGCATTTAAGCTTACACTTTTCTTCTTTATCCTTCGATACTGCCCTGCCCTGCCATGCCATACAAAGCCATATCACTTTTCCTTCATTCGAACACTTTTCTTTCCCTCTGACCTTTCCCTCCAACTAAGCTGAGAAGACCATTGTTAAGAAGTAAGCAGCTGGGTTTTGTCCTCTGAAACTCTCTGGCTGCCCCTTCCTTCTCTCTTGCTAACCACTCTATTTCAATATGCCATTTCCAGTGTCCATGGAAGCTCGGCTGCTTCTGTTAATGGCGATTTTCACTCTTCTGGTCTCCGGAGAAAGCAAAGGGACAATGGGGGTCGTCGTCATCCATCAACATCCGCCGTCAAAAATGCAGGAGAAGCACCGGAAGCAGCTGCCGTCGCCGCCATGGAGACACTCATTCAGTGCGCTCTTTGCCAGCAAGAGGAAGGTCCCAAACACTTCGGATCCTCTCCATAATCGTTGAAGCGCTCTGGGAATGGAGACTACGTCCGATTGTCGTATGAAATATGGTCAAAATGATGGTGTTGACTCTATTGGGAGGCGTGACCACGTGGACTTCTGGTTTGCTTGCCTTCCTTCAGCTTTTTCCTGGGTGCAACCTTTATGGGGAAATGCGTCCTCCTTTGTTTCCTTTTCCAAATAATTTTTGTAAGATTCAATTAAATATATATATTATATGCTCTTCCACAGATGTGTTCTCTGTTTCTCAAGTTCTCCAAAATCCGCGTTGTGTATGCCCAAAATGATTCTTATTCAGTCTTATGGGTTATTAATGTAGCATTTGTATAGTTGTATATCTATCATTCTTTTCAAGTCATGCCATTTTTGGCTTGTGGGGCTATGCAGATTTTGTTTGGCAGATTTCCAACAATGGGGAGTGCCTATTTTTTTCTCTCTCTCCTTGGTCATATTGATCCCTTTTCCCACTTATGTTGCTTCAATTTTATGTTGCTTCAAACATAAATTATATGCAAAGGGAAACACAATAATAACTAAAAATTAAGAAGGCATGGAGTTAGATAAACAACCCATTGTGTTGAATCCACTTCCAATTCACCATCTTCAAGTCATAATCAACTAGACCCATTCACTATTTCTAGCATCTATAGGACGAAACATTCTTTATAAAGGTGTGGAAACCTTTCACTAACACACGCGTTATAAAAACCGTGAGAGAAATCCGAAAGGAAAAACCTAAGGAGGACAATAAAAACCTTGAGGGAAACTCGAAAGAAAAATCTAAGAAGGACAATATTTGTTAGCAGTATGCTTGGGTCGTTACAAATGGTATTAGAGCCAGAAATCGGGCGATGTGCCAACAAGGACGTCGGGCCTCGAAGGGAGGTGAATTGAGAGGCCTCACATTGATTGGAGAAGGCAACGAGCGGCAACACGGACGCTAGGTCCTGAAGAAGGTAGATTGTGAGATCCGTTGGGAGAGTAGAGCGAAACATTTTTTTTTTGTAAGGGTACGTAAACTGGCGCATTAGGTGGTGAATGGTTGGGCCATCCCATCCATGGAGACCCCGGAAGGGTTGGGTAGTGAATGCATTGTTGGGGATGAGGAAATACATTGCGGAAGCCCAGCCCTTTGAAGGCAATAGGATTCCTTTACTCCCTCGACAACTTAGCTGTTGTGTTTTAATGTAAGGGCCAAAAATAAAAACATACAGTTACCTATAATCCCATAACTTGCTTAACGCAGTTGTTTTTAGGTTGGATACGTAAACCCCATAACTTGCCTAATGTGTTCATGGATTAGAACAGACCAAGAAGACTGCCAACTTTGATGAAAAAAGACACATGCTATGAATTTAAAAAGATACACATAAGTGGATGATTATTTATAAGAATCTAATCTAAAATGTTCCTTTCTTTTTTCTTTTTTCTTTTTAAGGAAATGTTATAATTATAAAGTGTTTTCCAAAAATTCAAAATTATCTTAAACTTTCAACCTTTCAACTGTTTACGTTAATATTTTAAATTAAAAAAAAAAAAAAAAGAGTTCAAAAATATCTAAAATCGGGTTCAAACATATTCCTAAACTTTTATTAATTGTTTAAGATGGTGAGAAGTATTGATAGAAATATTTTAATTTTTTTTTTATAAGATTTAAACGTATTAATAAAAGTTTTAAGATTAAATATATTTTAAAATAAAATATTGAACTTTCAAAAAAAAAAACTAACATTAAATTTTTTTTCTTTTGAAGCGTTAAGATTATTATTATATATATTTGGAGAATTTATATTTAGTTTCCAACGTTTAGCCACACGTGGGCCAATCACAGTACGCCACGTGTGAAATGTTTAATTTTAATATTAAATTGAAAACAATAGTTTTATTATAATAAAAAAAAGAAAAGAAAAAGCACTGCGAACAGTGTCCCCCATTTAGCAACCTTATCTTCAACAGATTCTTTCACTTTTTTTCCTTTTTTTTTTTTTCAATTCACATTATTCAATTTTAATTATATTTCATAACTTAATTTAATTCCGAATCAAAAAATCTAAACACATAGAATTCTCGAAACATTTATTTTATAAGAGTGTGAAAATCTATCCCTAAAAAAAATGCTTAAAAATTATAAGACGAGATTTACACTCATCTTCAAAATAAAAAATTATAGGAAAAAATGATTAGTTAATACGTCATGGTAGTGAATTTATCTGTTTGTGTTTCTTTTTTTTTGTTAAAAGACAGCGCACTAAAATTGCTATAATTACACACCCATTGGAATCATGCAGTCATTGAAAACTTTTAAGCCATACGGGCCTCAACTCTCACATATTCGCACGTGCCAAATTACATCTCCCTTCTCTCTCTCTCTCTCTTTTTTTTTTTTTTTTAATTACTGACTTTAAAAAAAAAAGCAAGATTTAGTTATCACTTAATTTTTTTTAAGAGTAAATTATTAAAAAAATATTCTTGAATATTTAAATCTTTTATGAAAAATCGATTAAGAGGCAGTAATTAACCAATCAAATTATTTATAAAAAAAAATCAAAGAGATAGGTTCCGTTTTTTTTTTAATTTTTTGGCGTATTAGTCCCGACAATGTCTGGAGGCAATAATTATATAGCCACTATAGGGATGGGCTTTCCTTTTTCTTTATTCCTGTTCCAAATTCAAATTCAGATTATTACTTTATTTTTTTAACTATTATCATCCCCAAAAAATATATCTATAATTTTGATATTAATTTGTGAAAATAATGTGATATGATTTATTATTTATTGCTTTTAAACTTTATTCTAAAAAAATGGAGAAAAAACACGTGACCTAATTAAAGAATGTAATTATAAAATGTTTTAAATCTCTCAAACTCGGCTTATTCCTTAAAAAAAACTAATTTAGGGAAGGATAATGGTGAATATATCTCCATTAGTACGAACTCTTTTGGTGAAACCCTTGTGCTTATGCTTAAAGGGGAGAATATCGTATCATCGAGAAATGTGGGGTTGCTACCATCACTCCCGTCTATAAAAGCCATGCAATGGGTACGGTATCCATCGCACCACCCGAACTTTGAACATAATGCATTCAACGATGGAAGAGACACTGTTGTTCTCTAATTTTGAGGTCCCATTGTTGGTCCTCATTTTAGCTCTGCTTCTGATTTTCAAATTCAGAAAAGCGGAGCACAAAAATCTCCCACCCGGCCCACCTTCCCTTCCGGTAATCGGCCACCTTCATCTTTTAAAAGAGCCATTCCACCAAATGCTGCAAGATCTGTCGCAAAAGTACGGTCCAATCCTGTCGCTGTCACTCGGTTTCCGCCCCGTGGTGGTTGTTTCCTCCCCGGCCGCCGCCCAGGAGTGCTTTTCGAAAAACGACATCATATTTGCCAGCCGTCCTCGTATGATTTCCGGGAAGATTCTGAATTATGACTACACTGCCGTTGGTGCTACTGCATACGGACAGCACTGGCGCATCATGCGCCGCATAGCTACCACTGAGCTACTCTCCACGTACCGTCTCAACGCATTAATTAACATCCGACAGCAGGAGGTTAAATTATGGCTCAAAAGTTTATACCGAATTTCGGGCAAAAATAATGTCCGAGTGGAGATAAGGTCCAAATTGACGGAGCTGTCTTTCAATATTGCGTTGATGTTGATGGTTGGGAAGCGTTACTTTGGAGATGAAGCAGTGGATGATAGTGAGGAGGCGAGGGAGTTGAAGAACACAATGAAGCAAGTTCCTCTACTGAGCGGAGCATCGTATCCAGCTGATTTCTTGTCGGTTTTGAAATTGGTCGATTATCAAGGATTCAGGAAGAGGCTGGCTAAGGTGAGGGTGGACGGCGATGCTTTTGCACAAAGTTTGATTGATGAACGTCGGAACAAGAAAGCCGATGACAATGAACGAAAGACCATGATTGATAGTCTGCTGTCCATGCAACAAATGGAACCTGAATATTACAAGGACGATATCATCAAGGGCCAATTCTTGGTAAGCCAAATTACAAAGCTCCATAATTTATAACATTTACATAAATTTACGGTCCTTATGTTCCTAAGAATTATTGAGAGTAGAGTCCTTATGTTCCTAAGAATTATTGATGTGGGGTCTTACAATCCACTCCCTTCAGGGCTCAGTGTCTTTGCTGGCATACTACTCGGTGTCTAGGTTTGATACCGTTTGTAACCGTTCAAACTCATAACTAGCATATATGAGTTTTCCCTTCTGGGCTTCCTCACAAGGTTTTAAAACGAGTCTACTAGGGGGAGGTTTCCATATTCTTAAGAATGTTTCGTTTACCTTTCCAACTAATGTGGGATCACATAGTGATTCTTAACATGATTTCAAGTCATGCTCTTAACTTAGCTATGTCGAACAAGGAACTTGTGAGCCTTGAAAGTGTAGTAAAAAATGACTCTCAAGTGTCGAACAAAGTGTTTACTTTGTTCCAAGGCTCCAGAGAAGGAGTCAAGCCTCGATTAAGGAAGGACTGTTTGAAGGGTCCATAGGCCTCGTGATGTACTTTGTTCGAGAGGAGGATTGTTGGGAGAAGAGTCCCTCATCTGCTAATTAAAGGGTTGATAATGAATTTACAAGTAAATTATACCGTTGTAGAGTTTCGTAATTTCTAAAGTAGGTAAGTAAATGAATGGCGTAGACACTTCTGGCTGCGGGAACTGACACAACAGCGGGAACACTAGAGTGGGCGTTGTCGCTACTCCTCAACCATCCGACCGCGATGAAGAAGGCGTGGACTGAGATAAACGAGCATGTTGGGGACGAACGGCTGGTAGAGGAGATGGATCTTAACCAGCTACACTATCTTCAAGGCATAATCAACGAGACGTATCGCCTATTTCCAGCGCTTCCAATATTGGTTCCACGAGAATCATCTGAAGACTGCACAATTGGAGGGTTTGACGTTCCGAAAGGAACCATGTTAGTGGTGAATGCATGGGCCATCCATCGAGACCCAAAAGTGTGGGAAGATCCCAATAGCTTCCGACCAGAGAGGTTCAAAGAGGGCGAGAGTGTGGAAGTAAGTAAATTGTTGCCATTTGGGATGGGGAGAAGGGCGTGTCCAGGGGCTGGCCTTGCGCACAGAGTGGTGGGGCTGGCGCTGGCCACTCTGATTCAGTGCTTTGAGTGGGAGAGACTCGACAACAAGGAAGTAGACTTGACTCCTGGAATTGGACTCACCATGCCCAAAGCCCGCCCTTTGGTAGCTATGTTCAAACCTCGTGCTCCCATCATTCATTTACTATCACAGCTTTGATTTGGTTTCTAATAACCATTATGTGTGTTGGTGTTACTGTTTTTAATCTCGAGGGTCAAAATTATAATCTCTTCCGACCATTCGGAGAGATGTCTGATTGTGTGCTTAAAATTGGGTATTATGTTGTATCTAAGTTTGCTAATATGCTGTGTGTTAGCATGTATCCTAGTATGAATGTTGAAAATGAATGTAAAATTCTGTAATATTTTGGAAATAAAAGTAATTTTTGGAAAAAAACGTACACCTTATTAGAATAGACGATCTTGGTTCGTATGGGCAAATCTTAAAGCTGGTACCTATTCTTGCCTAATATTTCCTAATAAACATGGCTATCCCAAGTCTTCAAAGATGCCATCATCTAAGACGTATTGTCTCATAACTGCATGTGCAGTTACATGTCAAACTCATTCTTGTGTATCACTTTACTGCATTCTTTTATTGCTTTTATGATGTATATCTTCTTTTTTGTATTTAGTAGGGGTATGATGTTCCAGCATATTCATGCCTACCCTTGGTAAGACCTGTGACTGGTTGGCTATTCTTCCTATCCTGAATTATATGCTATTTAAGTGGTAATGTTTCGTGGTTGGCTTATAGCTCTTTTAATTTTTCTTTCAACTTTGCTTTCAAATTCTTTCTCGAAAATCTCTTTTTTTAAAAAACCCTTCTTCTCAAACGAGACTAGAAACTTGAGCATACGTGCGACACTATTTCAAGTTGATCGACTCTTATTCGGTGATAAGAGTGAGTGACCCAGAGTGAAACTCTGTTATTGGAATAAATGAAGAAACGAATTCTCCCTCCATAACACTGATACACAAAACAATGAAGAAGAAACATTGAAGATAATGGTCAATGTCCGGGACCTTTTTTACTAGGCCCAGACGACAACACGAAGCTCAAGCTGCCAAATGCACTGCGACTACTGCCACTTAATGAATCAAGTGTAGCCATATAAGCTACCATTTCAATTGGCTCCACCACCGCTTCATCTGCAACTCCTTTCAGAACCCTTCCTTCAACACTTACAAATTGCGTCCAAACCACCATTAGCAGAACACCCACAACGAAACAGAGACATCTGCCTGATGCTGTGCCCCTCAATTCCATTGCCATACCTAAGTTTGTGAGTATGAGTAGGAGAATTTGGGATATATATATATATATATATATATATATATATATATATATATATATATATA